CTTCTCGTAATGATTTTTTCGCCACTATCACTACCATTAAACATTATTACATCACCTTCATGTCATAATTTTACATTTCATTCATTTAAAATGCGATGCAAAAAGTCTTTCGTTAGCTTTCTGTTATTATTTTAAGCTCCTTTGTTATTATTTTACCGTAAAAACTTTTATCGAAATGGTTTATTTAAGTCGTCTCGTATCTGACAATGAAACGGAAGAACGCGGTGGTCAGGTTGTAATTCTGATAAAATGTAGTTATGAATTTTTAATGCTTAATATATATAAATCTTTTTGCATGGTAAAAGTCATTCTCAACTTCGGTTTATGGTTCCCGTTGGGATGTTGAACCAATTCCAAAGTAAGACCAATTAAATTTATAGCGCGCTTTTTTTATTAATTATTTTGGTCGATAAATCTTATGTAACGGTGGTAACTATTCTTTACAGATATTCACTACCTGACAAGGAAATGCCCCCACATATCGCTTATAAACTCATTAAAGATGATCTTCAGGTAAATTATTTATTAATTTCCATTTAGGATAATGTATTTATTTGACTTTATTTTTTCATAATACAAGTTGGACGGTAACCCGGTGTTAAACTTAGCAACTTTCGTTACCACTTATATGGAAGATGAGGCTGAAAAGTTAATGACAGAAAATCTGTCAAAAAATTTTATCGATTATGAAGAATATCCTGTGACTGTTGAATTACAGGTACGTACAAAATTCATTCTGAGTGATCATTAATTATACGATAATAATAATAATACGTAATAATAATAATAGAGTCGATGCGTCAGCATTCTTGCTCGTCTCTTTAATGCTCCCAATGGTGAAGATGCAATAGGTGTTTCAACTATAGGTTCTTCAGAAGCTATTATGCTTGCTGTATTGGCGATGAAAAAGCTATGGAAAAAAAGGAGGATTGCCGAAGGAAAGCCCGCCGATAAACCGAACTTAGTAATGGCAGCATCGGGTATTTATTTATTTATGCAATTCGTTGGCCACGTGATTTGTTTAATAATAACCCTTTTTCATACGTTTCAATAGTTCAAGTTTGCTGGGAAAAAGGCACGTACTATATATATTTTTTTGTATATACTATTTTCAACATTCTTATTAACCAATAAATAAAATATCTAGCCACTAGATATTTTGAAGTCGAAGAAAAATTTGTTTATCTGACAGAAGATTCATATGTTTTAAATCCTGAAAAGGCCGTTGAACTCGTAGACGAAAATACAATTGGTATTTGCGTTATATTAGGGTAATATATATCATTCAACTATTCCATTAGTAGTTTCGATTTTTAATTTTCCGGAACGAAGTGAACTTTTTTTCTACAATAGTTAATTAATATTAATTTTCTGTTGCAGATCGACATACACTGGGCATTATGAAGATGTGAAAGCAGTTAACGATTTTTTGCTGCTTAAAAATAAAAAAACTGGTTGGGATGTGCCGATTCATGTTGATGCTGCGTCTGGTGGATTTGTCGCACCTTTCGTGAACCCTGATCTTGCTTGGGATTTCAGGTTAATACCTTTTATTTAGCTTTAAAGGTTGCAATTTTACAGTGACAGTCGAAAATATCATACCCACATGAATTAAAAATTTTTTAAAAAATTTTTATCTATCGTTTAAACTAATGACTAATTCTAGTATTTATATTGTGATTGAGATTGGACAGATCTCTAATAAGATATCTTATTTTATTTATACCATTAAGAAAATATTATAAATTTAAAATTTTAACTCATGTGGTGCAATGTTTCGACTAACACCGTAAATGGCAGGCTCATACATACGACATTAAATTGCTCGTATAATAATATGTAGACTTGAATTGGTTCGATCCATAAACGTTTCGGGCCATAAATATGGATTATGTTACCCCGGTATTGGATGGGCTCTTTGGAAATCAAAAAAGTACTTACCTGAAGAATTGATTTTTACTATTAATTATCTTGGATCTGATCAGGTATAAAATTTAATTATTTATAAATATGTAATTCATTATGAAATACCGAAAATCAGAAGCTCGATAATTCAAAATCCGATTAATTCATTATTTTAATAATTTATAATCCTAATAGTTCATAATCTCAAAATTCGTTTAATATACTAAAAATTGTCAGGATGATAGATTATCACGATTTTTAAAATTTCAGAATTTTAAATTGTTGATATTATGACCTCTAGAAATTATCATTCGAGCTTCTGAAAAATCGAAATTTTATTATAAATCTAACTTTTATCGTTTTCATTTTTTCGAGGCTTCTTTCACCTTAAACTTTTCCAAAGGTGCCGCAAATGTGATCGTTCAATATTACGTTTTAATTCGATTTGGACGTCAAGGATTTACTTCGATCATGAGAAA